CAGTCAAACCCTGGTGGCAGCCATGTTTGTTTTTATTATTTTAGAACGCTTATGCCTGTAATCATTCCATATCCTCGTAATAACCTTATAAGTCCCAGTTCGGAAAGTCCGAAAACGAAGACTTGTTTTTTGCAAATGTCATATTTTTTACATGTTTTGTCAGTTTTCATTGAAATTTGGTACATAGATTATACATGTTAGGATACATGTCCATGACAATTTCTTTTGCAATTGGATCAAAGATGGCCGACTGGCAGGCATCTTGTTTTGTTTTTTATGTTTGGGTATCTTGGACATGCTCTGTCAATTTTCATTCAAATTTGGCTCATACCTTACACATGTTAGGATACATGTCCAGGACAATTTGTTTCAAAATCGGATTAAGGATGGTCGATTGACAGCCATCTGACTTTTTGGCCTTACTACTATATTTTCAAGATTTATGTACCATTTTCATTAGTATTTGGCACATACATTATACATGTCAGTTTGTTTTATAATCAGATCAAAGATGGCCGAATAACAGCTGTTTTTATTTTTGGCCATATTACTACCGGTATATTTCTGTCACCCATGTATCATTTACATTGATATTTAGCATGTCATAAATTCAATTTGCAATTTGATCAAATATCTTGTTTGTTTAAAATGTGATAACTTGGACATGTTTTTCTTTGCTGTCCTAAACCGGAGGGGTCGTCACGCAACACGTGTTCGAATTTGATGTGAATAAATAATCTGTTGTACCCATATGCCACTTGGGACTCAAGTTTCAAGGACACACACGCGACAACCCCTCCGCTTCAATATGACGAGCACAAAGAGACCTCCAAAAATTAAACGGAGGACTGTGTCATTTTCAATGACTTGTTATTATGTTATTATCTTTTCCTTCCAAGGATACATCATGGGAATGCCGAAATGTTTATAACAGAATCAGCAGATTTCTTTGGCATCCGGTCAAACTCTTGTGGCAGCCATGTTTGTTTTTATTATTAGAGGGCGCTTACTTGCGTAATCATTCCATATTTGGAATTTGCATTTTCTAATATGGTAGGATGAAAATACCTCATAAAATACCACAAAATTATGGCACGCTATAACTTATGGCGTTACGGTGACAGATAATATAATAGTATAATAATGGTCATTATCGCAAATTGATGTTTGTTGAAAAGAGTGGTTTTGCGGAGCACCTCGAAGAGATGTTTCATGCTTGAGTGTCATGCTTGCATACTGAAAACTGGTGGCCATCTTTCCTTTTATACATCCGGAGCCGTGGTTTAAGTCTCTGACTAAAGTATTAAATCCTAGTAACAGGATATAGCCCAACATTACATTCATATATTAACAGTTCATTACACAGACTGGTCTTGTATTCAGGTAATTCAACTGCAGGTTACAAGGTATTAGTCACTCTTTACATATTAAGCCTAAATTCTGAAGTTATCCAGTGTTTTAATTCTGGATACAGTTAAAACTGATTTTGAATCAACCAAAAGATGGATGTTTTATCAACTTTGATATGGAAAATAATAAAACATAGAATGAATTAAAGAGTAGAATCGGATACACTTACCTATCTATCACGGTGCTTATAGTTAGACAGCTTGCGGCCAGGAATTTTTCAAAACGATCTTCCCAGTAAAATTACTGGAAAGATCAAATTGTGTGACTTAGTGCCATTTTAGTAAAAACAAGCATTTCTTCCATTCCATAACTGAGTCACAGAAAAACATTCTGGATTTTTCCTTCTCAGTACATTTTTTTGACTCCCATGTGCGAAGCACATAATGGGAGTCTTTGCAGTTAGTGTGTCTGTGTGTGTGTATGTGTGTGTCTATGTGTGTCCGACTGTTCCACTGCTATCTCAAGAACCATACATCGGTTTTTGATGAAACTTGGTGCATAGATGCTCTGGACCAATGCGCAGATTTGATTAGGTTTTGGTAAAAATCCATGCTCGTTAATTACCTAATTTGCATGATAATTAGCTAATTTTTAGCTGTTCTATGACTGTTCCACTGATATCTAAAGAACCACTCATTGGATTTTGATGAAACTTGGTACATAGATGCTCTGAACATATGCGCAGATTTGATTAGTTTAATCAATTTTCAGTTTTTCCACTGATATCTCAAGTACTAATCATCACATTTCAATGAAACTTGGTACATAGATATCATATGACACTGCACAGACCTGATAGTTTTTATGGTAATATCAGTACATATTAATTACCTAATTTGCATAATTAATTAATTTTCAGCATTTGGTATAAGTACTAATCATCACATTTCAATGAAACTTGGTACATAGATGTCATATGACACTGCACAGACCTGATAGTTTTTAGGGTAATATCAGTACATATTAATTACCTAATTTGCATAATTAATTAATTTTCAGGTTTTGATATTTCAAGTAATAATGATCACGTTTCAATGAAACTTGGTACATGGTAACTTGAGGACTGTGCAGAGACCAAATTAGTTTTGGGTAAATATTTGTGCATATTAATTACCTAATTTGCATAATTAACCAACTTTCACACTGATATCTCAGGTACTATACATCACATATCAAGGAATGTACATGGATGCTGTAGGACAATAGACAGACCTAAATAATTGCCGGTAAAAATCTGTACATATTAATTACCTAATTTGCATAATTAACCAATTTTAAACTTTTACACTGATATCTAAAGTACTAATTATTCCATTTCAATGAAACTTAGTAAAAAGATGCTCTAGGACAATGTACAAACCTAATTAGTTTGGGTTAAAAATCTGTTCATATTAATTCCCTAATAAGCATAATAATTCATAATTTTTTGGTCCTAATCACATTTCAATTAAACTTGGAAACATAGATTTTCTGTTACATTGCGCAGACCTCATTAGTTTTACACTCAAATCTGTTCATATTAATTTTCTGATTTGCATAATTAGTTTTCAGCTAAGTAATTTCGAATTATATTTAATGTGTCTCCAATACTCTCAGCACATGGGAGTTCTTTCTAAGCTTTCTTTGATTTCTTTTTATTACATAGCTGGCATTCAATAACGCCATGGTTACAGCACATCACTGATTTCCTTGTAATACAATACTTTGTGTAAATGAAATGTATACATTACAGCAAGCACAGTTTTAAATGTGGCATTATTTTCAATATCATAACATTATGGTAACAAAGGTCAAAGCTTT